CTTGTTAAAGCCACATCTTCTGGCAATTATCCTGAACCAAAGATCTCCGGGGGTTGCCCGGAGGCAATGGAAATGATGGCGAAACGACCAAAAATAATGGAAAAAGAGGGTTTTTGGAGACTGTTGATTTGAAGCTTAACCTTTCAACGACTAATGAGGCGATGGCGAACGAAACTGAGAAGATGAAGGAGAAGAGCTCTGTTGCTCCTCTATGTACTGACCCTGCAAAGCCCCCTGCAAAGTAAGCTACCCATATCTTTTCTTGGTTATCTTGTTTCTCAACATTTGTTTTTTTTTCCGTCTTTTTGTTTGTTTTTTTTTTTTTCATTTCATTTCCTTTAGAATGAAAGTACATTTGACTAATAATGAAATCAAGAAGTGAGCATGCATCTGCATATGCATCAGTTAATTTATTTTTCAGTGAAATTAATTTCTTGTTTTTAGGGGTTTTTTTTTCTTTCAATTGTTGAATATTAATTTGGAATTGAAGAAGATGAGTGTCCATTGAATCTTGGCCTTGTAAAGTGAAAAAACAGTTTAATTTTGATATTTGATGGCTTTGGTTGTTTGTCGGGAAAAAGAGGGAAAAGAACAAAACATGTGGAATCTCTACTACTTTTCCTAACAACCAAACAATGATTCAAAGTTTTTAACAGGAAAGTGCCTAAGATAGTCCACAGCTAAGCTACCAAACTTTGGTAAATGTCAAAAGTATTACCACATTCACCTTCTCAAAAGTTGGTAATAATATTTTTTACAATAAAATCCAAAAAATAAAGGAAAATCAGAATGAAATTTCAATAATTTTATGTTATTTCATTCCTATGACCAATATGATTAACGTTATGGTAAATTTAAAATGATCTAGTAACTTAAATTTGAGGGCACATTTGATTTCAGGGCATAAGTGGTGGGATGGTCATCATGTTAGGAAAATGAGGTTTAATCCCATGTAAGTAGTTTTGGACCAAGTAGAAATCATGGGCTTTGATCTTTTATTTTACACAGAGTTCTAGCTACTTAATAAAAAAGAGGTGGGGTTGTTTTAGGTGTGTGTCGAAAATCAAGTAGAGAAAAAAAAAAAGTAAAAAAAAGCAGAGAGAGAAAAAGAAGAAGGGAGAATTAGTTGAACGGAAGTCGATCCGTGATCTAATTGAGTTAGAACCTTGTCAAGAGGTTTATGATTCAGAGTTTTACATTCTGAACAGTGAAGATCGGGTTTGAAGCTTTCTAAGAACAAATTCAGGGTGTATTTGTTGAGTCACTTATTTGATGAGATTTCTTGAATTGTTTCTCTAGTTGTTGATTAGTTTTAGTTTTAGCTAGAGAAGAATTTTATATAACTATTATTTGATAGTGAAGATTTTTCTGGTGGCCTGTGATTTTTTCTTTCTGCACTGGAAGGTTTTTCACTAAATCTTGGTGCGTTTTATTTTTTCTGCGTATTTGATTATTAATTGTTGTCTATTACTTCTGTATTGTTGTGATTATTGCTTCAGGTGCAACAAGTGGTATCAGAGCAAGGGTTATTTTGAGATATCGATACAGAAGTAACTTAGGATAAAAGTAAATTCTGTTTGAGATCATGGAAGGTGATACAGGTTTCATGATAAAATTGACAGCATCGAATTATTCAATTTGGAAGCCTATGAATGATGATCATCTATACTGTAAAGATTTATATGAGTCAGTATTGGGTGATTCGGTTAAACTAGCGGATATGAAAGATGAAAGTTAGAAGAAGTTAGGTAGAAAGACGTGAGCTACAATAAAAATATAGGTTAATATCAGCGTGTTCCATCATGTAGCGCAAGAATCAGATGCTCACATTATTTGAAAAAAATTGACAGCATTGTATGAGAGAAAAATATGTATGAATAAAGTTATGCTTATTAAAAAGCTTATAACTTTACAGTACAGGGATGGATGATCTGTTACAGAGTATTTGAGTAATTTTTAAGATATATTTAATCGGATGACTACTATGAAGCTTAAGATGGATGATGAAATGAAGGCGTTATTTTTTTTGAGTTCATTGTCAGACAGTTGGAATACTTTAGTTGTGACTGTTCTTAATTCAGCTCCTGATTATAAGGTGACATAAGAGATGATAAAAGACAGTATGCTTAATGAAAAAACAAGGTGAAAAGATGTAGACCCTGAGAATCAAGCTCTAGTCACAGAGAACAGGGGTAGAAACATCGACAGAGGTCAGGACTCAAAAGGTCGTGGTAAGTCTAAACATAGATTCAAGTCTAGAGGTAAAGTGAAGTGTTTTCATTGTGGTAAGGTGGGTCATATAAAACGAAATTGTAGAATCTTAAAGCAAGAGCGAAAAGATGAGAAAGACAAGAGTTCAGATGATGATAATGTTGCAACAGTGAATTCAGATAGTGATTCAGTTACTTTGATTTATACACATGGTGATTGTAATCATGTTAGTGATCTCGATATTGAATGGATAGTTGACACAAGAGCGGCATATCATTGTGTTCTTAAGAGAGAGTTGTTTACAACTTACAAAGTAAGATGAAAAATAAGAGTGTGTCGTAGATTGTTGAGATTAGTGATATTGTTGTACAAACTAGTACAGGCTGCATGTTGACTTTGAGGGATATATTTCAGATATGAGAATGAACTTGCTTGCTATTAATGTCTTTGATAAAGAAGAATATGAAAGTCGATAAAAGAATGGACAATGAAAGCTTCTCAAAGGATCTATGATAGTTGCAAGGAGAAAATTATGTTGCACAATGTATAAGATATAGATACAATTGAACGATAACTAGGTAAATACCGTTAAAAATGATGCTTCAGTAAACTTGTGGCACAGGAGATTGACACACATGAGTGAAAAAAGATTACAGGTTTTGACAAGACAGTCTCTCATTTCCTTGACCAAAGGTATGTCTCTTGATTCATGTGATTATTGTTTGTTTGGTAAGCATCATAGAGTTTCTTTTCGTAAAAGTTTTCAGAGAAAAGAAAATAGATTGAAATTAATTTATTCTGACGTATTTGGTCCCATTGAGGTTGAGTCATTAGGTGGTAGCAGATATTTTATTACTTTTATTGATGATGCTTCACGTAAGACTTAGGTGTATATGTTGAAATATAAAAGTCAGGTACTGCAGTATTTTTAAAAATTTTATGTCATGGTTGAGAGGATGACAGGGTTACCCTTGAAGTGTATTCAAACTGATAATGATGGGAAATACACATCTAAAGATTTTGAAGAGTATTGCTTAAAGCATGGGATCAGACATGAGAGGACAGAACCTGAAACATCGCAGCATAATGGTATAGCTGAAAGAATGAATCGTACCATTGTGAAAAAAGTCAGATGTATGTTGAGGATGGTAAAATTACCAAAGTCATTATGAGGTGAAGCAGTCAACACAGCTTGTTATTTACTTAACAGGTCACCATCAGTTCTTTTGGACTTTGACATTTCAGAAAGAGTGTGGACAGGAAAAGATACTTCATACTCTCACTTAAAAATTTTTAGGTGTAAAGCATTCAGGCATGTACAGAAAGAGCAGAGATCAAAGCTTGACAGTAAAGTTATACAGTGTGTGTTTGTAGGATATGGTGATGAGAAATTTGGTTACAGGATATAGGATCCAGTAAAGAAAAATACAGTCAGAAGCAGGGATGTGGTCTTTCATAAAAAAAAAATCATAACAGACTTTGAGAAAAATAAAAAGACTACACAGGTTACTGTTGAGTGTGATGTTTTAACACCGACAGAGATTTCACAGGAAAGAGCCACAGATGATGAAAATGAGTAAGAAACAAAACTTGGGGATATGAATGAGCCAGTTACAATTGGTGATGAGTCAGATGCTATTAGTTTTGAGCAGGGGGAGCAATCTTCTCTACCTGAGAGTGTTGAGCAGGGGGAGCTACCTTCGGCATCAAGTGATGTAGAGTCTCAGCCTAGGAGATCTACTAGAGAGCGTAGGTCATCTACCAGGTATCCAAGTTCAGATTTTATTTTAGTTACCAGTAAAGGGGAGCCAGAAAGCTTTTAAGATGTGCAAGCTACTCCGGATAGAGAGCACTGGTTAAAAGCAATGAAAGAAAAAATGGAGTCATTGCGAAAGAATGGTACTTATGATCTTGTTAAACTTTTCAGGGAAAAGCTTGAGCTTTGCAGTAACTTGGTCGAAATGAGTTTTTTGACCAAGGTAAGTTTCAAATGAAATTGCTATGGTGATGAATCTCCTCCTAATGGGGCTGAAGGGGGAGATTGTTAGGAAAATGGGGTCCAGTCTCATGTAAGTGGTTTTGGACCAAGTAAAGGTCATGGGCCTTGATCTTTTATTTTACACAGAGCCTTAGCTACTTAATAAAAAAAAGGTGGGGTTGTTTTAGGTGTGTGTCGAAAATCAAGTAGAGAAAGAAGAAAAGTCAGAAAAAACAGAGAGAGAAAAATGAAAAGGGAGAGTTGTTTGAACGGAAGTCGATCCGTGGTCCGATTGAGTTAGAACCTTGTCAGGAGGTTTATGATTCATAGTTTTACATTCTGAACGGTGAAGATCGGGTTTGAAGCTCTCTAGGAACAAATCCAGGGTGTATTTGTTGAGTCACTTATTTGGTGAGATTTTTCCAATTGTTTCTCTAGTTGTTGATTAGCTCTAGTTTTAGCTAAAGAAGAACTTTGTATAACTATTATTTGATAGTGAAGATTTTTCTGGTGACCTGTGGTTTTTTCCCTCTACACTGGAGGGTTTTTCACGTAAATCTTGGTGTGCTTTATTTTTCCTGCGTATTTGATTATTGATTGCTGTCTATTGCTTCTGTATTGTTGTGATTATTGCTTCAAGCGCAACACACCAGTCAGATCCTTTCGGAAGAACATCATGGCCATTCAGAAGAACAGCTCCGAGGAGGAGGCCGGCGAGAAGGCTGGCAGTAGTACTGCCACCAACACCACCACTGCAGCAGCGTTTGTTAAGGTCAGCATGGATGGTGCACCCTATCTACGCAAGGTGGACTTGAAATTATACAAGAGTTACCAAGAACTCTCTGATTCCTTGGGCAAATGTTCAGCTCCTTTACTATTGGTAATTAATAAGCCCAAAATACAATTTTGTTAATTTTAGGCAAATTAATGTGAAGATGTGAATTAAATTTTTGGGGGGATTAATGTTTTAGGTAACTGTGGGTCACAAGGAATGAAAGATTTCATGAATGAAAGCAAATTGATAGACCTCTTGAATGGTTCTGAGTATGTTCCAACTTATGAAGACAAAGATGGAGATTGGATGCTTGCTGGTGATGTCCCATGGGAGTAAGTTTTTAACTTCAATTTTACATTTTCTAATTAATTGGCATATTTATTTTATGATTAAATCTTACTAATTTATTTTTTTTTCTGCTAAATTTATAGGATGTTCGTTGATTCATGCAAACGACTGAGAATCATGAAAGGATCTGAGGCAATTGGACTTGGTTAGTAACTATTAATTCTATATAATCATGACTGTTCAATCTTAATTATTGAATTGATTTTCATGGAATTTGCAGCTCCAAGAGCAGTAGATAAGTGCAAGAACAGAAGTTGAAGCAGTTTCACAAACAACAATCTCAGTTGAAATCAAGCGTTACAAAGATAAAAAACAGAGCGGCAAACCGGCTCGAATATAGGGATTGAGTAGGGAGTTTGAATGTGTTCATCAGCATGAAGAAAAAAAAAATTATGAGGAATATATTGGGAGATTTATTAATGGACAAGAAATCAAATAAGACTTTGCTTTTCTTCTGTGTAACCCTGTTTTATTGTCAATGGCTTGTTTAATAATTTCTTAAAAATATTAATGTTTTTAGTTGTCATGAGTGTTTTTTTTTTTTTTTTTTCACTCCATTTTGTAATATTATTGCATGTATTTTTTTTCAATGTAATGTATGAAAAGATTCTCTGAATTATGTATACTTTTTATTATTATTATTTTCATAAATTTTATAATGTTTTTGTAATTGGTTGAGGAGACAAATAAACAAGAGCCATGAACAAAGTGATAAGGCGGAGCAAGGCCATGTGCAAAGGAAACATTTAAGAATCAATTATTACTTTTTTTTTTTATAAAAATAATATTTTCATTGAATATATTGAAAATCATGAATAAAGTTGCCAATTATTATATTTAATATAAAATTATTGAAAATCTGAATTTTCAATATAAACACATTACATTTACTACAAAATTCCTTTTCTTCTAACACTCAAGTTATACACAATTATTGAAAAATGATATATATGATTCATCAAAATTATGTAAATAGGTTAATGGTTTTGATTGAGTTGATAATTCTTCGCTTGTACGATTTAAATTTGATTTTCGTTACCAATTATCTTTTTTTTTTTTGAATGATTTGTAAATTTAATGTAATTCATTGTTGAATTTAAGCCTATGATATATTTTGATCTTGAAGTGAGATAGCTTCACCACACTTTTTTTTTTGTACAAGAAAAAATTATGTACATAGATATAAAATAATGTCATTATATTTAGCATGGAATTCAGTGACATTAAACCAAAAAGAAAATGGAACATAAAAAAAGCATTCCTATTGATAGTCAAAACATGGAGGTGTGGGAAATATGTCTTTGCAATAAGGTGAATGAACCCTGTTCTATAACCAAATTTGACTGGCATTTTGGTTTCTAATGACTTTGAAGCAGCTCAAGACAAAAGCATATATAAATTTATTCTTAGGCAGGCTTCTTAATTGAAAAAAAATGGTTAACTAACTAAATATCTTTGAAATTATTGGCTTTAATTAACTGAAATGGAGGATGGAAAAAGCCTCCTTTCTTTAAGATCTCCCCCAACATGAAACTGGGGATTTGAGAAATTTGGTTTTTGTCCTTTCCATTTTTCAAAGATTCCTTTTGTTCAGGCAAGTGAAATGAAATATAAATTAAAAAAATATTGATAATAATGGTTGTCTGATCCTAACATGAAATTTATTACTCAGATCTATTCTACTTCAATCATTGTTGTGATAATTTGCTTTCCTATTGAAGGGATAGAGAAAAATGGAAAACCCCATATAAGATAGAAAATGGAGGCTTAAGTTTGCTTGCAATGAGCTTTAAGGTCAGATGGTTGGGTGAAAGAACCAAATAAGATTATTTTCTATCATGTAAGCTTGTGATTAAAAAAAAAAATTAAAAACATTTTAGCATTTGATTCAGTATTTTGGTGCATGATTATTTTACTCATGCTTTGATATTATTTTTCTTAAAATTTGGGATAAGATCATGATTAATGAAAATCCTTGTCCTAAATTTAATGAAATTTAATGAAATTGATTTTTTTTACCCAAAACTGTTGAATTGTAGGTTGCCTCCAATGTTGTCTTCAATGGCAAATTTATTAAAGCTAGTGGGTCGGTTTATTTTTCGATGGTTGGCCCAATCCAACAATCTATTCGGCCTCCTTTCAATGGTTGGCTAACTCCAAACAAGTCAGCATCTTCTTTACCACAACCACCGATTCGACATTGGCTTCCAAGAAAAGGATTTATCGTCTGCATGCGAGCATGTTCTCAACCAAACTCACAGCATGTTTTGACAAGATAATACCAATTAATTTTGTTTGAGCCTCGAGTACAATAATTGTTAATATCAATTTCACTTCTAATGGATTTTCTAAATTTTTTTACTTCATTTTCTTTACCACATTTTAATCTATTTTATATTTAATGTGCTAAATCTTCAAATTTTAATCTTCTTTTTGTTTTAATCAATTCTTTTATTCTTTACCACAGAGACAAATACGAGATGATCTCCAAATACATAAATTTACATCAAACAGGAATTTATTTGTTCTCAAATTAAAGGACATGAAATGCCACAGGGCTATGCATGCAGTATACATATTGATTATAGATTAATAACAAGAAAACGGACATTGCTTCCATGAAGGAAACATTATTTTATTTAGTGGATGCACACAATCCTTGTAATTCCTTGCTTTTGCACCAGTTGAGTTTTGAGTGTTTTCTCAATTCGTGATACTCTCTGATCTGGTTTGAAAGTGGATGTTGTAGTTATAAAGAACCAGTGTAAGTGTCACCTTGCACTTCAGTTGTGACAGTAGTTCCGTTATAAAGAGTGTCCCTTTGTGTGTATGTGAAGGGAACATCACACTTACCATTTGTTGGAATTACATCCACTGTCACCTTAGTCATTGGAGGCACAACAACTTTGTGTATAACTTCCAGAACAGTTGTCGAGCTCTTGGTCTCTCCCCACTCCACACCTGTTTGATAATTCTCTCTCTCCATTCGAAATCAGTGGAATTCCAACGTCCAAGGTGGTTTTCATACCTAACTTGAGTGAAAACCTATTCCTCCAAGTTCTAAATGTGGTATCTGTATGCGAAAGCTTCACGTCTTAAGTGGTGGATTTCTGGGTATAGTTACTAGCAGAATTCTTGGCCACGGAGAGGATACTTTGGTAGAAATTATCAAGATCATATTTGACATTATAAATTTTCCTCGTCAAGACAGACTCTTCCACCGTTAGGTGGGCCTGTTCAGCAATATTGGAGACGGCTGCATTAAGGCAGTTCGTCTTTCCTTCGAGTGTGAGGGTTTGCAGAAATTTTTGTTGCCCAAGTTGAGAAGACCTATTGTCTTATTGTCAACTTTGACGGGGCGAAGCGAGTTATCCTTGTTGTTGCTGCTCGTGTCATCAGACTCGGCCCAAATCCAATTCGGGTTGCGCTTCCAAAATTTATTGGAAGAAATGGACTTGATGCGGACATTTCCGTCGTCAACAACGAAAATCTCGCATGCCACAGTTGAATCGCCAATATCATCAGTTGCAAACTGCAAATATGGGTGATCCTCGATCTGACGAAGACACAGATAGTTATCATTATTTCCTTTGAATGCCACGAACCTAAGCACAAATTATTTTACTTCGTTTCTTTACTAGATTTTAATCTATTTCATATTTAATTTGCTAAATTTACAATTTTAATCTTTTTTTTTTACCATAAGCCAAATACAAGGCAATCTCTAAATCATATAAAATCATACCACAGATGCATTTATTTATTCTTAAATTTGGGATCTTCTCTTCTTTGGTTTGAAAGTCGATATTGTACCTGGCAACTCATTTGTGACAGTAGTCCCGTTATAAAGAGTGTCCCTTTGCATGTATGTGAAGGGAACATCACACTTAACATTTGTTGCAATAAGATGTACCGTCACCTTAGTCATTGGAGGCACAACAACTTTGTGTACAACTTCCAAAACAGTGGTTGACGTCTTGGTCTCTCCCCACTCGACACCTGATTGAATTTCACCAGATAATTCAATATTTCCCTCAAAATGAGTGGAAGGCCAACGTCGAAGGTGGATGTCACGCCTAACTTTAGTGAAAACATAGTCTTCCAAGTACTAGTCCTGGTATCTGTATAGGAAAGCTTCACGTCTAAAGTGGTGGATTCCTGGGTATAGTTACTGTAATTCTTGGCCACAGGAAGATCTGTTTCATCGTAGATCCTGGAATTATCGAGATCATATTTGACATTATAAATGTTCCTCGTCAAGACAGGCTCTTCCACTGTTAGCTGGGCCTCTTTAGTAACAGAAGGGACGGCTGCATTTAGGCAGTTCGTCTTTCATTCGAGTGTGAGGCGGTTGCAGAAATTATAATTGCCCAAGTTGAGAAGACCTATTGTTTTATTGTCAACTTTGACGGGGCGAAACAAGGTGTCCTTGGTGTTGCTGCTAGTGTCATCGGAATCCGACCAAATCCAAGTCGGGTTGCCCTCCAAAATTTATTGGAAGAAGTAGGATTGATGCGGACGTTTCTGTCGTCAGTAACGAAAATCTCACATGCCACAGTTGAATCACCAATATCATCAGTTGCAAACTGCGTATATGGGTGACCCTCGATCTGACGAAGACATAAATAACTATCATTATGTCCTTTGAATGCCACGTACCTAGGCAGAATCAACAAAGGCTCCCAATCAATGATTGTGAAGATATCACAACTATTACTATCACATAATGTGTAGTTGGCCATCACGCAGCGAGGAAATGCTGGATTACTAATCTGCCATAAGCATAAATAGCATCCTGATTGGACATGCTTGATTCGAACCGTAGTTTTTACGGGGTCTACACAGATAAACTTGAACAATGTGCATGACTCCTCGGATTGGTCTTCCTCCTCCTTGTTGGCGGTTGCAGTAATCCAGAAGTACTGCTCCAATGGATTTCCTCTGATGGAAAGATTTTTGGTTCGTACCCAGTATTTGTTGTTCTGACATCTGCTTATGTGCACCAAGCCATCTTTGCCAACAATCTCCACTTCAAATTTTGCGTATGGGACTCACAGCTTGAGTTTCCTTGAAGCTGAGATACCCATCAGACTCCCCATCTTCATGGATGTAGCCCAGATAATCGTTCTTGTCATTGGATTTGAGGACGATAAATCTTGGCAATATCAAGGTCATTTTCGGTAGCTCTCTTTCTTTAATTTGAATTTGAATTGATGATCTCTACCAAGTAACTATTAGTTTGCTCTCTTGCTTTGTTTCACTCTTGTGATTGCTTACCACAACCTCATAGGCTAGCTATTTATATCCAAAATTTCTTGCTCCTTTGGAATTGGATGATGGAGAGTGCATTTGAAACGTGCGTATGAAATTTCTACACACCTTCAGGATAGAGATTTTAGAGTAGGAAGTA